ATGGGGGAGTGGGAGGCTGTTATGGGTCAGATATGACTACATGGAAGCAAGGAGACATCTTACATGTTGTGAAGCGGCGGGCGTTGGCCAAGGTGCTTCCAATGAGCCATCCGGCTTGTAATTCCATTGCTTGTTCGGTGTCGTTGGTGTGGGGGTGGAAGGTGGCTTCGGCGAAGCTTCAACGGATGTCGGTACTGTCGGTGTGGAGCGGGAAGGCATGGCGGGTGACGGTGGAGGAGGCATCGAGTTTGCGGTAGGCGTACCCCGCGTTGGTGGTTGCGAGAGTGTCATCATGGGAGTTCCAGCGGGCTTTACGAAAGCTCTTGGATTCCTTACCCATTCCCTGAACTTTGCAGGCGTTATGCGGAGTTTGACTATTAGTGATGTGGGTTCAGATACGCTCTCTTCCCGCGCTTCATACCGTAGGGACCTCGACGCCCTTGGCTCGTGATGGGGTGTTTGGATATTCGAGACTTCGGGAGTTGCTGATCTTCCAATGGCGGATCGCATCGCAGCTTGAGCAGCAGTAGCAGCTCCGCGCATACCACGGGTACGAGCAGTGCCTCCAGTCATCAATTGAGCAGGTGCGGGAGACTCCATGACTGAATCATCACTATCTGAGTCGTCTGAGCTGCCATCAGCACCGCGACGACGGCCTTCTCTGGCTTTACGCGTGGCCTTGAAGAGTTGACTGTCCTCAATCGTTTCCGCAGCGCCAGGCAGCACTGATGAAACGACCAACGTCCGTACAGTCCGTTGGCGGTCTTTGAGGTCTGGCAGGGCAGGGCCACCGCGTCTGTTGACGGAACGCTTCTGGCGTCGCTGTTCGCGCATGATTGAAAGTTCGGCTCGCTCCAGGTCCGCATTGCTGAGTTCGTAAAGGTAGGGTTGGTAGTCCTTTGTTGACTGCATCGGGCGGAATACGGAGGGGAGTGGAGATGCCAGGAAGTTGTCTTGTATGTCTGTATCCTCGACTGGTCGCCCGTCGAAGGGATGGCCTGTGATGTAAAGACTTTTTGTAAACATCTGGCACTGCTCTCTTATGGAATGTGCGATTGCGGTTGTGAACTCTCCGGATAGTGACAAGTCGGCGGCCATCTGTCTCGCAAACTCCTCAGGCGCATTCAGAGGGTTATTGATCTCCCACTCGAACTGGTCTACGAGGGTGTGCTGGCCAATGGTAATGTTCAGTTTGATCAATATCCGCATCTCGTCGTTCTTGTATGCCGAGTATGGCTGATGTGGATCCAGTGGCTCGTCGTCGAAGAAGGCGTGGGGGTAGTAGTCTTGTACCTGCTCGTGAATTTCGCGATCGATTTGCTGCATTACGTTCTGGCGCAGTTCGGGCGGTATTTGGAAGTCTTCGACGAGGGTTTGGGCGAAGAGCACGGGGTTGGTAACGCGGTCGTGGAGGTTCCAGGTAAAAGTATCGCGAAGCTTCAGTCTATCCAATTCGATATCCAAGCGCACAGGTACAAGCTCCTCAATCTGGTCTGCTTGCTGGAGCCCCTTCTCTTTCGAAACCTTGAGCTGCGGTGCGAGTCGACGGCCAGCGCGCTTGGCATTCTCAGGGTATAGCAGCTTGGTTTGCGGTAGGGCGCGCGGGTCTCTGGGGTCGGGAGGTATCTCGGTCAGGCCGTTGCCGTAGCCAGCGTAGCCATATCCAAAGATGGCGCCGGGGTTCTGTCGTCGGACCGGATATACTTCGTCGCGGTAGAAATGGCGCAGGTCGTTGAGTTCGCCATACACCTTCTCGGAATGTTTGTTGCGCTCGTACTTGTTTACGCTATCCAAGAGGTCGCGCTCGATGTAGCGGTTGAGGAGGTGCGTCTGCGAGGCTGTGGGTTTCGCGCCGTCGTCGTGGGAAGGCGTGTGTGATGACTTGCGGGTGCCCGAACGCGATCGCTTTCTGCTGGGCGACGCGCCGTTGATGGCTTCGGGTTGCGCGGGCGATGCCATGTCGCCTTGCGCGCCGGCGAGGTTCAGACCAGAGGCGGCCATGACGGCCTTGGCTTTCTGCTTGCCGTCTCGGATCGCGTTGTTGTCGTTGGACGCGCCGTCGGGTCCATTGATGCTGGTCGGGGCGTTGGCGGGCTGGACAGCACCTTCACTGTTGATGCCGTTGGTGGACGCGCCGTGGGCGGGATCGAGGGACTGAGAGTCGGCTAGCGGCGGGGAGGGCATCGCGTAGGAACTGTGGATGCGCGCAGCAGGAGCGACCTGCGTGTTGCTGCCCTGGTTAGAGCCGAGGCATAGAGGCTGGAAAGAGTGATGGAGGCTCGAGTGGGTCAATGGGCGTCCCAAGCGGTCGCGCCTGCCAGAAGAAGGGGGCGGACGTGCGATGCGATGGCGACAGCAACACCCGCGCCGCCATCTCCAGAAAGCGCATGCATCGCGCCGCGATCACGCGAATAAATAGCAGCAATAGAAAAAACACATACCTTTGCGAGCATGCAATTTGCGCGTCGTCACAGGTCACAGGGCTGGGCTGGGCCTCTGTTTGGCTGTCCAGGGAAAGAAGTGCCGATCGGGTAGTCAAGCGCGCAGCAGCCCGTCTGTAAGCCTTTCACAGGCGAGAGTATTGGCAGGAAACCTAAATCGGCGAAACACCTGCTGCGGTACCTTGGGCGGGGTCGCGGCCGTGGATAAGCTCGGAATGATGTGTTGTGTGTCAGGCAGAGGCATTGATGGATTTGCGCCTCGCTCCCACTTCCCGCCGCTTGCGAGCGCCGAGCCAGCCAGCCCATGACCACACTGAAGCTCGTCGGCACGCTCCCACGCACCCAGCGTCTCTGCCCGGCGTGGTTCTTTTCACGAAAGCAGAGGCCATGCTCTCCCGACTGTTCCACATAATTACACCTGCACTCCATCGTCTCCACGCAGCCCATCACGTGTGACGCCATGACGAATGCTAGCGCCTACCTAGACCGGTAAGCTCAGAGGAAAAGCCACTCGTGTAATGCAGTGGACCTTGTTCGTTATCGAATAAAGGTTGTATTTTATGGAAAGACCCGCCTAGTAGAAGAAGATAAGAAGCGTCTGGTAGTACACCTCGTCACCGCACTCTGACGCCCTCGCCTCCAGATCCATCCTAGTTGCATCAGTGCTAGAAACTGACAATACCTAAACATTTCCATCCAGTCCCGGCCCGGACACGCCGCCGCTTACAAGTTCGCCGGCTATATGCGTCTGCTTTGCTTGCGATAGATACTCAAACGTGCAGGTTCGCTGCTGAGACATGCGCTCCCCTGTTGCTCAGTAATATCGCTGCTCTCGTTGTATTCCCTCCGCTCAAAGCAGTGAGTCAAGTCGAGTGAATACACTCAAGCATGCCGCGACAACCTATGGTAAAATAGTCAGCGCTCTGTCATGTTGAAGGAAAACAAAACAGCGATTGACTTACCTCAAGCTGGAGCTCCTTATCCTTGGAACCGTTAACTTCGTCCGTGATGAGCTGACCCAAGTTTGCGCCCACACCCTGCGAGCCACCCTGCCTCTTTGCAAACGGCCACTGCGAATATTCTGCCAGCAGCTCGTCCACTTGAGCGAAGGCCCGTTCCCGCGCTTCGTGACCCAACGTTGTCAGGGCGTTCTCGAGGACGTTGGCGGCATAGGCGGCGCAGACCATGGTGATTGTTCGCAGCACTCTGAATTCCAACTCCTCAGGGAGGAATTGGCTGCCAGGGAGGACGACGGTGCGGTTGGTGAGAACGTTCCGGACTCTGCGTCGAATCTCCTCCTTTGCGCCGCCGTCTGCGACGGGATGTGTAGCCATGTCGAACAGGAGGAAGTTCTTCTTCTCGGTGCGCAGGATGCCCTTGTCGACGAGGCCTTTGCATAGTCGTTCGCGTACTTGTTTTAGTTGGTAGCCAATCTTCATGAGGTTCCACGTCTCTCCTGTGTGTATAGTTAGTGCCGAGCACCAGCCTTGGGATTGCGCGCCGCAAACGTACCGCTCATGAGGTCGATCCACGAGTTGACGCTCATCTTCTCGCTCGACTTCATCATCTTGAGGGCCTCGTCCAGCAGAACCTCTCCGGTCAACGTGTCGTCAATAACCTCGATGACTCGGTCTGCGAGGGGGAACCGTCGCCGATTCGAGTCCTTTTGCATGCTCACGCGGCCTCGGAAGGCCAATTCTATGACAATGCAGCCTCGCAATGCATAGGAGATGTTGTCGTTCCAGAACGACAGGTATCCCTATTCTCACTCATCAGCCTGCTGCCCCTAGCCCACCAGCGCCCTGCCGGGTACACACCTGTTTGTCCTTCAGCCCCATGAGGATGATTTCCTCCATGAGCGTCAGCTTGGGCTGTTTGCTCCTCTCTGCATTTTCGCTGATGTCCCGGGGGTCGAATGCGATCTTGTGGCCATTCTCGGAGCTTTCGTAGGAGGTTTCGGGGGTGCGGTCGTCGTTGCGCTTGGGTGCTGGCGAGCTGACCCGGCTGCTCTCGTCCTCGCCGTTGCCGGCAGCGCCGCCGCCTCCTCTCCGGCGCGTCAGACCAGAGCTAGAAGCCATCAGGTGTGGTTGTGGAACGGGAGGGGGGTCTTGTTGAAATTATGCGTGATGCTCCTCAACGGGCGCAGGGATGAGGGCGCTTGGGCTGCGCATGCGCGGTGTCGGACTATGTGGGACTTTCGGTGAGTGCGATGTGGGAGAGGGTGGCGGGCACGGCGACGTAAAGAATAAGGGGTATGGCAAGGCGCCTGTGTGAGTTACGCGTTGGGGGTTGATTCTCGTGCCACATCAATCAGCGGACAGGGTGTCGGTCTCGGATGTGCCAAGATTAGTTACGCACGCTTCGGAGATCAAGTAAACAGGCGTCCAACAACACAAAAGCCAAAGCACTGGGAGGTGGATAGCGTCAATTCTATCAGAAGTACACGGTGCCGACCCAGGCGACTGTTTTACACGGGGGCATATATATAGCGATGCCGGTAGAACCGACTCTCAATTCCACATCCATCATCTCCAATCCAGCGCGGCTCTCCAATATCATTTAGTGAGCTACGATGTGTTAGTTTGGGGCAACTTCGGGATTTTCAAGTTGCGACTCACCATCGGGCTGGGCCATGATGTAGTCCACTGCTTGCTTGACTGTGATATCATCAGTATGTATATCTCCGACCCTGCATCTGAACGTACCGCTGTGGATGGCATCGGCCTCCTTGTCGGGGATCTCAATGCTGAATTCCTGCCTCACTGTCAGATTTGCCTTCCGAGTATCGCACGCGGGCCGACTAACCTCCTCAATTGCCATGACCACCTCTACGGTATCCAGACTGTCGAGACCGAGGTCGTTGTGGAAGTGCGATTCGGCGTTCAGCTGCAAAATATAAGCCTTTGTCTCCAATCCCTCACACGCTGTTGGTAGCTACCTTGGAGGCATCGGTGACCTGCTTCTGCGTTAGCCACTTTCTAAAATTGCCGTCGCATAACCATTACCTTGTCGAAGTTCTTCAAAAGGTCCATTATCCTGCCGGTGACCTCATCTTTTGACAGACCGGCGCTCGCGGCGTAGCATCGTACGGCCTGGAAGTATACGGAGGGATTCATTTGCTTTGGCTGGACGAAGGAGCTTCGCGCAACGGGGCGAGCCATTGCGGCCTGGCATCGTGGGGCAGCGCGGACGGCGGACCGGGCGGACCTGAGGAGTGCTGTTCGGAACATGGTGGACGGTTTAGGAGTGCGGAGTGCGAGGTAGCAAGGTCTGTGGTGGTGGTGATGTTGATGCTCGACTAGAACTTCAGACTAAAGTTACATTACGTTAGTCAGCCGTCAAGAGCATTTCCGTACGAGTGAACAGGCGCACCTTGAATTATCGCAACAGGTAACACAGATATCCGAGAAAGACTCGAAAATCATTCATATACCCTGCTACATCACCTGAGTCAAATTTCTGACCTCGGAGTTGCCTCCCACCGTTGTTGCCGTCATTGGACTTGTCGGCCAATCGCAGCCTCCGCGTTACAAGCGACGACCTCAAGTTTCGAGCTTGACAACAACCTCCATATCCGCCAGCAACCCCCCAACCCGCCAGCGACTCCACCACGCTCACAATGGCCAGCGCAAAGCCATTGACAATGTTGGCACGAAGCCGCCCGGCTGCCACCCTGCTCCGGTCACCACAGTTCGCGTCTGGACGCCTCCCCTCGCCCGCCACCGTCGCCTTCTTCTCTACCACCCTATCCCGAGCCGCCACCCCAGCAGGACCCCCGCCGCCAGGCTTCCGGTTACCCAAGCCCAAGCGATGGGATGAAGGAGAAGGTGCATTGGACCGCGCCGGCAAGTACTTCTTGCTCATGGAGATGTTCCGCGGCATGTATGTGTCGCTGGAGCAGTTTTTCCGCCCGCCGTGAGTACTCCAACTAGCAGACTAATCGGCTGCTACCTGGTCGCAATGCGGTAATCTGACGTTTCTGAAGATACACCATCTTCTACCCATTCGAGAAGGGCCCTATTTCGCCCCGCTTCCGAGGCGAACATGCCCTGCGACGGTACCCTACCGGTGAGGAGCGTTGCATTGCTTGCAAGCTCTGCGAGGCCATCTGCCCTGCGCAAGCCATCACAATCGAGGCCGAAGAGCGCATGGACGGTAGCAGGAGGACCACACGTTATGATATCGACATGACCAAGTGCATCTACTGCGGACTCTGCCAAGAGAGCTGCCCAGTCGATGCCATTGTTGAGGGTATGTCGACACGTTCCCTGAGTACGCGGATCAAGTGCTAACATGATATAGGACCCAATGCCGAGTATGCGACTGAGACCCGCGAGGAGCTCCTTTACAACAAGGAGAAGCTGCTAGCAAACGGAGACAAGTGGGAGCCCGAGATTGCCGCAGCTGCTCGTGCGGATGCGCCGTACAGATAATGGACGGGAGCGATTTGGAATTACTGTACATATAAGGAGCGGTTGCGTCTGACACAGCCAGTCAGATTTCTTTTGTCAATGCATCAGTAAACAATACCAAGCTCACTGAGTCCATGTTCAAGAAAACACTGAGAGACATGGAAACGACGGACGTGGTATTGTGACGGAGTCCAACTAGATGCATCACTATTGATTTGCGAGATAACATTGGCATTGAACAAACATCCTTGAGAGAAGACAACCTAATATTCAAGATCATAATACTCCTAACGCTCATACGATGCCTGCCATGATATGGTATCAAACGCCAAATGCCTGCCTATAGTATGCATGCCGCCACCCTTTCCTTTTATATACCTTGATCCCGCCCAGCTTCATGATCATCTCGCCTTGAATGTTCCCTCGAAGCCCGGTCGCTTGACCTTCTTGCCAGGCTTCTTGACCTTCTTTTTGCCCTTTTGGCCCTTGTCATCCTTGCGCTTCTTGAGGTTCTCCTCCCTCTTCTTCTGTCTCGCGGCCTTTCCTTGGTCGACGTTCGTGAGCCTCTCCTTCCACTCTTGCTTGCTCTTGTCCTTTTGTTTTTGTTGACGCTTCAAGCTCTTCTTCAGAAGGTTGACGTCGTCGAACACCTTCTCGCCCTGTGCCCTCTTCTTGGCGGCCAGCCATAGATCCTTCTCTTGAATATCCTTGCGCTTGTCCTCGTCGAAGGCGTTAATGCGAGCCTGTTTCTTTTGCGCAGCCTCTAGTGCCGTCTTCGCATCTGACTTGCCCTTCTTCTTCTTGGAGTCGAGGAATCCAGAGAGATTGCTCTCAAGCTGCTGGCCGTCCCATGCGATCTTGCCGAAGTTGAAGTTGCGCTCAGTCTCCGGCGACCTCGCCGGGAATACAGAAGGTGAGCCCGAACCGCCTCTTATCCGTGCGAGCTGCTCCTCCGCTTGCTGTCGTGCCTCATCCTCTTTCGCATCCTGACGCATAGCCTTCTTCGCGGCCTTCTTTTCGGCTTCCTTCTTCCTGCGCGCTTCGATCAGCTCTGCTCGGTTGCGTGCAGGGCGTCCATCTGGGCCGTCGGCCTTTCGCGCCGCGCGCATTGCCTCTAGTTTCGCGTTCAACCGAGCACGGAAATCCTCATGTTTTTGCGGATCGATCGTGTATGGCTTCTTAGCCTTCTTCTGTGGCGCTTCTTCACCGGACTGGGGTAGTGAAGAATTTGACGAAGCGGCGGAGGCGACGGAGGCTGTGGAGGAGTTGGAATTGGCAGTAGTGGAGGGAGCAGTAGACTGACCCTCTTCGACGAGACCGGAGACGTCCAAGGCCTCTATGCGTTCGTCTGGATGTTCGAGTTCGTCTGCAGACGCGTCGTCTTCTTCGCCTTCGTCTTCGTCCTCGTCATCGTCCTTTTCAGGCTTTTCGGCGGCGAGACCTTGGAACTGCGTTGGTAGCGCTTTCTTCGCTTCCAGCTTTTGCTTGTTCTTGGCCTGCTTCTCCTTCCTCTTTTCTCTCCGCTTCTCTGCTTTCGCCGCGTGCTTGGCCTCCGCCTTGGACAAAGTGACTTCTTCGGTCTCTTCGGCTTCTGGCTCAACAGGCTGTGTCTTTTGCTTCTTTGCCTTGCTCTTGATGCCCTCAAGAGGCTTCTCCTTTGTGATGTCCATGTCAAGGTCGGACGACTCGGGCTCGGAAACCTCCTCACCCTCCAATTCACGCTTCCGTTTTAGCGCGTTCTCGTCCATGACGTCTTTGGCGCTCTTATGGGAGGCAGGATCCAGCTTCGCTCGCTTGGCAGCTTGTCGTTCTTCGAGAGTCTGCTTCTTGCCTTTCTTTTGCCATTGCGTCTGCAGACATCATGTCAGCATAAGGCGATGCCTGAGGTGAAGAGATGCATACGCTGGTGATACTCTCGTCCTTGCCATAGTAGTCTTTGGCGGGTATCAGAGACATGAGTCCCTCGAAGGCACGAGCATGGCTCTTTAGACGCTCCTGCAGCTCTCAGTTAGCGGCGAGAGCGAGCGACAGGAGGCGGGCCCGGTGCATACCTCGAGATTGTCGCCCATTGCGAGGACAGTAGACGCAGTATCCTTTTCGAAATGTGATATGTCCTGTTTCAGACGGATAGAGGGCGCAGAGTTGGCGGGGCGAGCGTGTCGTGTGCGGGTCGCGAAAATCGAGGTCAAAACGAAAGCCAAGATTTCGAGCAGACTTTCAGCGCTAGGGCCCTTCCAAGATCAGACCCACCCGCCAATAGACCCTCGCCGCCCCAGCCACCGACCATTCAGGCTTAACGCGAAGCAGACTCGCGTGCTCTTTCACCAGCATCAGCCTCGCTGCCGGCAAGGTGCCGCGAGTCCATGGATGATGCGCGTCTGTCAGATCCGCTTGCCTCTCGCGCTTCACAACGATAGGCCAAGACAATTCATTTGTTGTACATGATAGTCGGTGGAGACGCGTACGCACAGCCACCCGAGCCCTAGCACAACCTCGCCGTCGTCGCCTTGTATATATCCTAGGCAACGCCCTGCTGGCAATCACCTGACAACTCCATATACTCAGCGCTATCCCACATACCAGAACTGCTAATACCTTCGCTCTAATGGCTACGCCGATCATCGAAGCCAGATCTCTTTCATCGCTTACCGCTCTTGCCTCAAATCCACCAGCTTACCCAAGGAATCCTACTCATGAGAGGCATGACCCGCTAGTACTGTACATCGCCCGTGTTCCTGGCAGCAGAGGTACGGCTGTCAATATGTCTTCTCCTACAGTAGACCTAACGTGCTTCAGATGTCTTCTTATCTCCGATGAAGCCGCGGGAAAAGGTGGTGACCGCAGAAGACATACAAAGTTCACTCTATTTCGTCCACGTTGAGCAACCAGAAGATGCTTACCTTGTCGACCCTCCTGGATTCCAGGATACAGATTATGCGCAAGAGAGCCAATTGTCTTCTAATCCCGTCTCTGCGCCTATCGTCCCAAGGAAAGCAGTACCCGGCATAAACACTGCTCCCATACGGAAGCCCGTTCCCAGCCCTCTGGCGCCCATCAATAATTACTCCAACAACCAGAACACTGATGCAGGCAACTATGCGCGGAGATCTGCAATGCTCGCCCCAGAGTATAGCCACAGCCCACGACGCTCATTCGATGCAAGCCAGTACCAACAGGAAAACCGAAGACCGACAGCTTCGCCACGTAGACGATCGGAGAACCCGTCACGCTCCAGTGCATCGCTCACCCTTATCCGGCGAGATCCCGCATCTGGCGCGCAGTGGAATGTCGCTCGCATTGAAGATCCACCTGTCCTAAATGTCTCATCGACATCGAATGATCCTGGCATGAAGAAAAAGTTGGGAGCACCGATGTATATCGAAGTTTTCAATCCTGGCTATTCCAAATTTCTGCATTCCGACACCACGAACAAGCCCCCTTTAACAACACGAGATAGCGGCATGTCAATCCAATCACATAATGCAGCGTCAGAACAACAGACGGGGGCTCATCTGTCTACGAACGAGAACGTATTCCGACGACGCATATGGATGGAAGGGTCGCAGCATGTAGGCGGCTTTGGACATCGGAAGCTTAATTCGTATGACTACGATACCGGACGTCCTGACTCAAGGGGGAGTTATCGCGCGCAGACCAACTCCACATCGACAGACATGAGACCGTCTCCAACCCCTCCGTTCGTGACTAGGCAAGACCAGTCATATGCTAGCATTCAGGTCTCAGATAGGCAAACCAGTTTTCGTGGTTATGTGTTCACAAGTCCGTGGAACGGACGATGCGAATTCACCACCGGAGTAGGCGGGGGATCTTTGAAGGTAATGCCACTCATGTCTCAGTGATTGTCAACAGGAGATACTAACTACTCTGGTAGTGTCGACACGTTGTCCCAGGGCTTCAAGGAGCGCCGCCTACAGCCATGACGGTTAGTGAGCTACGTTTCAACCTCCCGAGTAGTCCCAAACCCACTACACCCAGAGGCGAAGAAGGCTCAAAACGCTCGTCATTCTTCCGCAAAGCACGACACAGCCGCAACAACTCCTCTTTATCAGTCAGTTGCGATGACACCACCGAAGACGCTAGAAGTTCGTTGGATCGCTTAGATCTTTCTTTAGGTCAGGAGTTCGCAGGTGGTGGTTTTGGTGGTAAGCAAGCGAAATTGGGAAAGATAATTCTGGAAGATGAAGGCTTGAAGATGATGGACTTACTAGTCGCGGCGAATCTGGGATTGTGGTGGAGAGCTTACGAGAAAGCGCTTGTAAGTGGGGGTACTACAGATACTATACAATAAGCTGGAGACGACCGTAACCACGTTGGAGCATAGGATTCTCATAGTGCAAGCCCGGTGTCACCTTTGGGAGGGTAATTGTCGTGGTGTTTCTCCTAGTTTCAAACGGGTCCGAGACGACACTGCCTATTGCGATATGCCATGTGAGGTATCAGACGGTATGTATAGTGAAAGAGCCATCTGACAGCACTGACCACGTAGCATCGAGCAGTCACTTTAAGCGTCTATATATGTTCTAGAGCTGACTTGGTCATGCTGGTGACTTTTCACGGCTGCTTTCCATAACCTATAAAGGTAGATTGACGTCAATCACTCCCCTTATTCACCAGTCTACTTGCACGCACTCTTCTTGAGACCCTTTTTAGATCTAGCCTCTGACTTCCGCATCTCCATTTCAACAGAGGCCCTTGATCGCAATCACACCACCACACACGTCGACCAGCTTGATAGCAGAGTATGGCACGTCCTAAGAAAGCCAGTGTGCCCACAAAATCGTCCTTGTCCGATGGAGATGGACGGCGTAAGACTCGCAATAGCGCAGCGCAAGAGGAGGAGGAAGACATTCTCGATAACATTACTCTGGCTCCACCGGTCTCACAGCCACAGCAAAAATCGAAACCCATCCCGTCCCCCAAAACACCTGGCGAATTCGACCATGTCGTACTAAAACTTGAGGCTGATTGTAACGACTACCTCGCTAAGGCCGATGGATCCGAAGATTATTTACGAGACATGAAAACTCTAGAGGTTCATCTCGACACAATTAAACTATTCGCATATACGGAGGACCGTTTCGCGATGGCACTCAACAAGCTACACCCTCGGGGCGACAACGCTACCAACCCTCACGCCTTACAAACCCTCCGCCTAGTCGTGAAAGGCAACATACTCCTTACGCGTTACAGCTACCACCTCATATCACCATTGTCATCTGCCTTTGTAAACGACAAACTGAAGAAGTTTGCAGACGGCAAGCTGTCCGACGAGGAGAGAGATAAGCTACCCTACAAGCTCAACAGTACGGAGAAACTTCTCGCGAACGCGCTATTGGGTATTCGTGGAGTGAAGCAGGTTTCTATCGAGAGCAAAGGAAAAGGAATAGTTGAAGCAGACTTCGCGGCCACTATTAAAGCTACGTTGGTCCAGCCTCAGGGGACTGATGTCTTGCAAGTAAGCGATGAAGAGTCTGAGTTCTCGACGCATGCGTTGAACAGGCTGGGGTCGATCTACTCGAATGCGTATTCTGGGGACGCGCTGAACCCATACGCTTCTCTAGCTCCACCGGAAGTAGAGCTCGCGGACTATTCGGAGGATTCAGACGATGATGCGCAGGCCGCTGCTATCGCAGAACCGCAGAGACTCGTCAGACGTAGGCCGAAGGAGGATGTTCCCGTCATAATATCAGGGCCGCGAACGCGCGGAACGATGGCCAAGAAGGCTGAAGACGTTGGGGAGAACGACGAGAATAGCGATGAAGAGGATGAGAACGAAGCATATGGTCTGGGTCTCAGGGAGATGGTTCGAATCTACAAGCAGAAGTCGCGTCCTGGCGATATAGATTCGGAGACTTCCAGGTACGACGTGTTGCCAGTAGTCCTAACCGCGAGGGATGAAGCGGTTGAAATGGGCTGGAAAGTGTAGCACTGTTTCTACCGGAAGTGTTTGGGAAAATGAGACGAACAATTCCAGAGACGGATTGGGATTGGTTTAGTGAAACTATGGCTCTCCGTCCTGCGTGTCGAAATGTACTTAGGTGTAGTTTAGGCGTGTTCATGGATACCTAGGTAGTTCTAACTTGGGTAGAAAAGAAGTGTAGTAGAGCTATGTCAATAGAAGAGGCAAGGGCGTATCTGTCAACAGCAGTCCAGTCACATAGGCCTGCTCAGCCTTTGTCTTGTGAGATACTTTGCTGAAGTTGGTGCACCGCCACAGCGAAGTGAAGGTGGCACCTGGTGGGGTAACTGCTTGTCGTCCGTGCGTAGGTGCCTTGAGCTCGCGGACGCGGAGAGCTATGTCACCTCCGCCTCGACAAACACATTTAATTGCGGCAACACTACACGTTTGTCCTCGCTATTCAACCAAATACCTTCGTCCAGAACAGGAGCTCTACTGGGAACCGAACCGATACACTGAATCGGAAATACGCAGTCAATAACGATACGATACCCCACCCTGCATCGCCGCCTCCGCCTTGCCTACGTGCTCGAACCACAAGATCACTCCACACCGACGCGACAATGTCGGCCGAACTCACCACTATACTGCTGTCGTTCCAGCCAGACAGTCCAGACCTCGCAAAGCGGCGCGAATATGATTCGAAGGCTCGTTCATTTGTCTCGCAACTGAACAATATCCCGTCATCACAATGGACCAAGAGCGCAAATACAACCCAAGACGTTCTTTCGGTAAGGACAGCTGATAATATCAGCCCGGAGGCCGCTGACTTTGCAGATACTCAACCCCGCCGTGAACTCAATAGCATACGCCTTTGCTCTCCGCCACCGCATCTCCGCCATCCTCGAGAAGAGAAACGTACCCGATACACTGCAGCCCGGTGGTACGTTATGGAATCAGCTGGTGCTCTTCCTGGAGACTGCAGACCCTATACAACTACGCTATGTTGGGAAAGAGTGGAGATACCTCGTCGAGCAGACCGAGGCGATTGCGCGGGCATGCGATTCTGTAGGTCGGACAAAATGCTATTTCCTGCATGAGATGCTGACTACTACAGGCGAGCCTGGCTATTGCGCCCATGCGGTCGGCTATGACTCGACTTGATGCTTCCACAGGCACCTTTACCTCAGTCCACCTTTCCTTTATACGTCTATGCATGGAGACGCGATCGTACGCGGCCGCCGAACCGATCCTCGACAACTATATCCACAGCATCCCCCAGAAGATTGCCAACGTTGTCCGTGACGGCCTCGAATACTCAGTACCATGTGCGGACGTCGCGAGCAGCGGGGAATACATACATCAGAACTCTGGACATTCAGACAAGGTGTCGCTGACGGATATAGAAGAGTACTATGTTCTAGGTGCTCAGGTATATCTGGGCCTTCGGCAATTCAAGAAGGCGAAACAATTTCTGGAGCACGTGCTGGTTATACCTACGACCAAAACAGCGAACGGCTTAATGCTGGAGGCGTACAAGAAGTGGGTGTTAGTGAGCTGTCTCGTAGAGGGAAAGGTATGTTACAGCCAAGCAGTATATCGCGGACCAAGCTGACATTCGCAGGTGGGCACTGTACCACGGACCTCAAACGGAAGCGCGATCAAAGATATCAAGGCTGCGTCGAAAGCCTACGAAGCTCTGGCGGACGCATATGAGGAGCTGGATAACATGTCGAAGCTCAAGGCTCAGGTGCAGGCGGGTAGTGAGGTCTGGGCAGAGGTATGGTCATGATACACTGCAACACATCCCACGTCTGTTTCATGAATACTAACAAGACGTGTAGGACGGCAACGCTGGTCTCGTCAACGAACTCATCAGCAGCCAGACACGGGCTTACGTTTCGCGGCTGTCACGGACGTACTCGGCAATTCCAGTCTCAAACATTGCGCACCATCTGGGGGCACCTGCTGATGAGATCGCCGGATACATCGACACATTGATCAAGGATGGGTACTTGAACGCACGGCTAGAGGAGACGGACAAGGCGAATGCGGGGATCGTACTACGTTTCTTCTTGGACCCGACGCAAGGACCTCTGGCCAAGAGTGAGAAGCAGCAACAACAAGCGCTGTTTGAGCAGACGCGCCGTACCAATATGCTCGCCGAGCAAGTCAAGGACGCCGACTACCGAATGACGCTTACCAAGGAGTACGTTGAGAATCAGAAGCGGTTGAACAAGAGGCAGACCAACAACGGCGACGCCATGGACACGGCTTGGGACGACGGCCTCGAAGCTGAGGAGGACATGATGACAGATTTGCACTGAAAATGAAGAGCGATGGTAACGCATAGCAAGGGTGATTACAAGTTCACTACATAGAAGTGGAAGACGGAAGGGACGGTGACTAGTGCTGACGAAGCTGAGCGTTTGGCAGGGTTGGGCATGATCAATGTCCATGACGCGATAACGGTAATGCATGAAACGAGAGATGGCGGATCCCAAACAGCAGACATGATCAGGGACGGACCATGAAGGCTGGCAAAGCAGCCTATAGGAGGCTGCGGGGAGGCGAGAACGGTGACGGGCTGTTCTAATACAGACACGAAGGTATCTGTAGCGAGAAGAATGGCGAAAAGAAATCATGAAGCCAGCAACGTGCCACGTGTTGAGAAGTTAGGTGATGCAGATTTGCTTGTTGCGATGCTTTTGGTGTCAGAAATGGCGTACGTGGAGCGGGATTTGGAAGTTTAGGCGTGTGTCAGTATCAGTCGATTATCGTATACGCGATACGACCGCGCTGCTGGGACCGTGTTTGATAGCAGGCGCGACATGGGCCTCTGGAGCGCGTGGCAAACGGACCGAATTGGCGAATTGCGATGTTCGGGCGTCGGGCTGCCATGAGCGCAAGCGATTGCGAACGGGTTGGGGTGTGTAGTCAGAGGTTACTTTTGACACGTCGTGTTGAGTAAACAATGCCATCGCACGACATGCAATTGTCGGCATCGGATTCGGGAGGATTATGAGGCGCCGTCGGGATTGAGCATCGAACGTTTGTTTTTGTTGCAATGGGAAACGGAAGTGGAGAGGGGATGGCGAACGGGGAACGGGGAAGAAGCATGATATGGACTAAGGCAGGCTAGAAGAAGGGACTACAGATCGCCGATGGCTGGTGAGATGGCACAGATGAGAGGGTCATGGAGCAGATTGATAGTTCTGCGGCAAGTCAGGAACCCGGTGTTGTGCTTTGGAGGTGTGTAGAGCAGGCCGGAGACTGGGCATCCATCAAGCGCAGCCACAGGGCCTAGCTGCTAGTCTGTTCCTGCAGCAGAGGCCAGGGTCCAATTGGAAAGACCATCTGAAACGTACTGTCTGGGAGCGTAGTAGGTAATGGAATCTTCAGGCCGCCCAACGAGGCCGCCCACTGGAGACCTGATGGCGAGGCGGGACGTCTAGAGCCCCTAAAGCAGAGGGACTAGGCCGAGGGATTTGCGTGCAGCGTGTCGTGGGCTCAGTTGGTGTTCGTCCGGGCACTGGCTAGCACGATAGAGAGAGGCAGCCGGGTCGGCCGGGCTGGACAGGGGTAGAGACCCTCTGGGCTAAGCCGGGTTTGGAAGACCCCTGGGTGGCTTTGCGGGTTGCGACTTGGCGGCACTGTGCTCTCCACAGGCGGCTGCTCGTCGCTGCGTACGACATATTCGAGATACACAGCACATTGCACCACCGCTCGCGAGCACGCCGCCCGCCGCACCGCCTCCAAGCACCTCCGCCGCCCGCCTGAGCGCGTTCCTGCTTGTGGCAACCATGCCTGCATGCGCCGTGCATTAACCGCTGGCTTGGCCTGAGACACGCTTTCCTGCCTTGACACCCGTGGACGTCGACGCCGACAACATGAATATCCAGGCCACGCCGCCCCCGGCCACGACCTCACGACGCCGCTCGAGCGCTGCCAACGGCGCTGCAGAGGCCATTGCCGCCGCCGCCACCGCCTCTGCCAACCTCAACCGCTGGTCCCAGGCTCCGGGCACCCAGGCCGGCAGGAGCGACCACCCGCACCACCAGCACCACCCGAGTTTCTCGCGCAAGCTGAGCATCACTACGCCCAACACCGCCGCGCCTGCCACTGCCGCCAATGGCCCCGAATCCCCCGCTCGCATCGCCAATTCTGCCCCTCGCTCGCCCACCGCGAGCCCCCGCCGACACCGCCCACGCTCGCCCGCATACGACCCCCCATCCGCGGTGACAGCCGCCCCAAAGGTGCCCCAGCTGCCCCCGATCCTGCTGCCCTCGACCGTCTACGACCCCAACACCCCCACGAGCACCTCGACCACCAACAACTCGCCCTCGGCATCTAGCCTCTTTACCCCGAACCTGCTCTCCGGCCTCCAGCAGCGCGACTACTTCAACTCGAAACCCACGCAGCCGCCGCCCTCCCAGAGGCCCCCGTCTCGCACCACCAAGGCCGAAAAGGTGCTGGGCAAGTCGCCCCTCGGGTCGCCTGCGGTCCTTCAGGAGGCTGACCCAAGGCACGACTCCACTTCGGGCGCAGCTCGGCCCTCTACAGCACGCAGACCCTCCGTTGCAGCACCTAGGGATCCCGTCCAAAAGCCCCCACCCAGTGCGGGCCACAGACCAGCCGCCTCGCGGGACCACTCCAGGAGCCAGAGCAGAGAACAGTTCAGGTCCGGGAGCAGAGCCCATGTCCGCAGCCCCAGCAGGGATCACCATCGCAACGAGAGCAACGCCAGCGCTAGGCTAGACGACAGCTACCAGGGCACTCCTCCCCGCACACGCGAGCGCAGAGAGAAAGACAAGAAGACGATGCTGTCGCGTGCCCTGCAAAAGGCGAACACCGCTGTCCTGCTTGACAATGCGCAAAACTTCGAGGGCGCCATGGAGGCCTATGAGGATGCCTGCAAGCTCCTCCAGCAGGTCATGATCCGCAGCTCGCAGGAAGAGGACAGGCGGAAGCTGGACGCCATTGTAAGTCAATGCATACATTATCTGTAAGGTTTCACCACTAACGCCAGCAGCGAGTAACATACACCAACCGCATAGAAGAGCTGCGACGGCTAGATCCCGGCTACACTAACCATAGCGGCAAATCACTACCAGCACGCCCTATGAGCGGGGAATCGCTGGACGAACACCGCTCAATGCTGCTGCTTGACGACGATGAACCACCCGCAGTAATTGAAACTGCCACAGTGTCTCGCATAGTTAACGACCGTTCTATATATGATACCCCTCCAGCCGGCGAGCCTACACCGCCGCCCAACCAGCAGCTGCCTCTCCGCAAGGGCTCCGACGGTCCTCGTGAGTCGGTCATTTCCACCGCCATCCGCGATGTGCAAAGAGGCATGCAGAACCCGCAATTCAACCTACAGCCCCCACCTGGGCGAATCGCGCCTTCTACCACATCTGTCCGATCATCGGTTGCCGAATCGATGATGGACCGCGTATATATGCCCCCACCGCTCTCCCCAAAGCGGTCCAAATCTCCTCTCCTCAGCGGTAAGGAGTCCGAGCCCGAGGAGTATGGCCGGTTATTACGACCACAGCAGCCCGTCAAGTCAAATCACCAACGAGTTCATAGCAACGAGTCAACATCATGGCTTGACACTATTGATGAGTCTGGTGGATCTTCGTGCTCATCCTCGGTTCATTCCATGTCTCCCGGGGGAGTGCGCCGAAAACATATACGAAATAACAGTGGAGGAACCGAGGCAGAGTTCGATGCGGCGCTTGATGCAGCCGTCGAAGCTGCGTACGACGATGGATATGAACCTTATGATGACGACATTTCTACACCCGGCGATTTAATAGCGACTAAGTTGCGTAACGTGGAACTGGCCAAGGAGCGCGTGCGGGAGGCGGAACGCGAAGAGGCCATTGCCGCGGCCAAGTATCGTTACAAAGAGACGCAGCTTCGGGGCGAGGGCCTTCCGCATGTGCGCGAAAGCGCCGAGATCAGATTCAACGACGAGGCGGAAGAGGAAGAGCGGTTACTAGACGAGATGACGCGAGAGTACATGCTGGATGGGTTTGATTTCGATCTGCAGACAAAGTCTTCGTTACCGCGGCAGTCAGACTCGAGTGGCTTCTCTGGAAGCGCGTACAACAGCTCCGTGTCGTCACACAGAACGACGGGTGGTACGTCACTCTCGACCGTTGCAGAGTTGATGCACCCGACATCCAAGCAACCACCCGCTCATTCCCCGCCCGCGGTGCCTGCTCCATCTGGCGCTCTGCCTGCCTTGCCTACGGTTCCCGAGTCACAAGCACCGCAAACGATCGACACCGCAGAAACCACACCACGGCCCACTACTGCAACCAAGGACGCAGCCTCAGTACGAAGTCGAAGGTTATCGGGACAAAATGCAAAGTCTTTGAAAATTGAGACTTCTGTACCGCCTGTCCCGCCTGCACCTCACACGGAGAAGCCTCCGGTACCAGCTAAGGATGCGCCTACCGACCTCCCCGTCCAACCCAAGTCGGCGGCACCAACATTCAGCACCACCAAGCCTACCCTGGACTCCGCGTTCAAGCTTCCCGCGCTGCCGCAAGCGTCCCAACAAGCTGGTCTTCGAGCTCCATCACCTCAGCCCACCCTCTACAGTCCCGCCGAAACTGCTGCCACGGTTTCACCCGCGACGCCCGCCCTCGGCCATGCTGTTTCTAACGAGGCTGGTCTTGTACCAGGTTCGCCAAAGACCGGAAAAACCTCAGCGATGGGAATCAGGAAGAACAAGTCCTCTCTCAGCCTGAAACAGCGCAACTTGTCAATATCCAGCCCAGATGGCTCAGATGCATCCATAGGAACGCCACTGAGCACGACTTTTTCCATTACGGGCAGGAAACCCAGCAATGTCAGCCTGGCAATGCCAACGCCCAGCGTCCCCACATTCAACGTCGACGGTCTACCGAGTGGAGGGATGCACTTGTTCGAGAGTGATATCCACTCACCGTTCTCGCCCGGTTCGCCAAGCCCAGCCATCACGAACGCCCCGATCCCTCTGGAGCCATGTCCGGATTCTTACCTCTTGAGACCGTTCTGGTTAATGCGATGCTTCTACCAGACTATCGCGCATCCCCGCGGTGGCTATCTCTCCACTAAACTCTTTATTCCCCGCGATGTCTGGCGAGTAAAGGGTGTCAAGCTAAAGAACATCGAGGACAAGATCGCCAACTGCGACATGCTCACCGCAGCGCTTCAAAAGCTAGCGTCTGTGGATACGAACGATGCGGATGCTGTCCTAGAAGAGATGCAGTCTTTGGAACTAGTGCTCGACCAGGTGCAAGCCCAGCTAGCAAAGAAACTAGGCAACGAAGTCGGTGTACAATCCGTAACCGCACTGTTCAGAGATGCGACCACTGTCGGCGAAGGTGCATCGTCAACAGACGCCTCCGGCAGGCATGGCTCCGTGGACCACCAACACAAGGGTGCTGTTGCTCAGGGCAAATCATACCTTGCTTCGTGGCGGAAACTCCGATCGAAGAACTCGGGCGTCAACCTCGCGGGCATGGCTGGTGGTGCCAAGAGTGCAGAAGTGCCCAAGGACACTCTGATCATGTCCACCCTTCCCATGACCAACCTCCCCAGCATCCGCTTCGCAAAGCGAGACATTTCCGGTGTTGTGTTTGAGGGACCTAATGCAGGGTACATGGGTTCTTTGGCAAGGCTATTCGATGCGGTCCAAATATTGGGTATGTCTTTTTCTACATCATCTCTCATCATAACTATGGATTAACTAACAACGCTCTAGACCAAATCGCCCGCCAAGTCGAAGACCCAGGTCTCAAGCATTCCTCCCCCACCCACGTCGGTCTCGAGCTATCAACCCGCCACGCCGCAGAGTTCTTCGGCTTCTACATCTGCCGCTTCGTCCTCACCGACGTCACCATGATGTTGGATAAATTCATCAAGAGAGGCAGTGAATGGGTTTTGGTCTAACACAGAGAGCGCAAGCCTGCCCTATCTGTATGTGAATATGCTTCTTTTCACTTCAATGCAAGGGATCTGTAATGAGACGGAGATGTTCTTTGTTTCCTCAAGCGTTTTGTACTGGGCGACCTGTGGAAATGGGTCTGGTCCGGTCTGGTCTGGTATGTATCCATACATACTATCATGACTCAAGAAAGCGAAGAGAGAAGAGGCATGAATATCTCTTTTGGAAAGAAGCAAGAAACGAGTGATGGGATGAAGCAAGGAGACTGGTGTTTTCGGCGGCTTTTCCTCTAGTCGCAAGCACAGTCAAGTCATGAGGTTATGGATCTTTGTTGAGCGCTGGAATGGCGCTTTAGCTTGGCTCTTTATTTTGGTTTTCAATCTTGTTGTTCGCTGTTTGTTTTGGTCTCGTCTCTGCGTTGCATACTGGCTTTCGAAGATATCCCCCGCCACAACTCTTAGCTTAGCTTTATTCTTATCGAAGCATACATTTTTTTTCGAGATGCTGCAATCTGGGTGTGTGCTTTATGTGGTGAGAATGGAGAGGTCAGAACGTTGGACGAATCTAACATGTATGATGGAGCTTTGGAAGAAAGAGCCTGTTCATATTACGATGCATTGAGAAAAGTAGGACAGTACAGGAAAAAGGCTCGACAACTCAAACAACAAAAGGCCTTCCCACTCTCGCCTTCTCCGCAGCAGTAGTACTCACACGCTTCTCCTCAGCCTGCACAACCAGATCATGCGGCGAGAACTTGTCCACCGTCGACACCCTCGGCCTAGGCTCCGACCGATTCCACAACTCAAAGTGGCTATAGAACCTTCCATTCCCAGGCGGCGGCCTCTTCGCCTCTGCTCTGGCCAAGACACTCCGACCTCCCACTCCCGGCACGGCGGGCACCGACGGAGAGACAGGTCCCGCGTCACCATCATCGTCGTCATCACCACCACCACCGGGTAGATTAAGAAAGCGACTCCAAGCCGTTGCCGCACTCTCCAGACTACTACTCGCACGTATGGTGCGTATAACAGCCTGAGCGCTGATGAGCTCGCTTTCGAGCAGTGCAGTCTGGAAGGTAGTGAGGCTTTGCTGGAGACCGGCTACGGCTTCGTTGACGGGGCTGTTCATTTCGCGGTGGTAGGACCGGCCGAGGGTTATCAGACTGTTGGCTAGGTTGGGCATGGATTGCACGTATTCCATGTAGGGGGATGTGAGGTCGATGGTGAGGTTGTCGAGCGTGGGTGTGGTGGTGGGGATGCTGGTTGGCAGGGCGAGGCTGGCTGTTAGGGGGAGCGTGGGCGTTGCGAGTGTGGGCACACTGGAGGTGGGTAGGGTGCCGTTGAGGGTCGAGTTGCTGGGCAGGAGCCATGATGTCTGTTGTTGGTGCTTGTTAGTGCTGGTTATCAGAATGCTCGAGGTAGCGATCAAGACACGTACTCTGTTCGTGTCTAGTTGGAACTTTCCTCGCAGGATAGTGTTGGTGATGTTGTTGACGAGGTCGGCAGTACCCATCTGATCGCTGCCACCGAAGAGGTTGAAGCCAAAGCCTCGATTGGGGTTATTCGGATTTCCGATAGCACTTGCTGCTGCATCGACGACACTGCGCATATCGGTAAGGTCCTGCACCGCGGCGGGTGTGGCGATGGCGGTCGGGATCAGGATGACGCCAGTGACGAGCATCCTGTGGAGCAAGAAGGAGGCCTTGTGGTGAACCGAAAACATACTAGGCTGACGATGCGGCGAGCAGGTAATCGGAGTTAGTAGGCGGAGGTGAGAGATGGTAGGAAGGCTCAAAGTATGCTGCTGGAAGCTAGGAGTGTCTTGTCTAAATTGTTGGTGGATGAAGAGTGGAAGTTCAGGTGACATTGCTGGCTTCTTATCGTATGCGTCTAGCTCAGTGCGTGGCGGAAGGAACGATACTGTCAAAGGACGTGTCGAAGTGAGTGAGCCTATTGGGAGGAAAGAACGACGAACCGTGTGGCTAGAGGCGACTATGGAAGCAGTATAAAAATGCAAGAGCCATCAAGCAGCATGCCCTCAAGCCGAACCATCAATATTTCAATTTCTTCGATGAGGTTGATAACCTTATGGATGTCTGTTAGTGCGAGTTACGAACCAACAAAGGGCCTCTGCAGACACTCTCGGCAAAGTATGAATGTACAAGCAGGTGTTTCAAATCCATTCGTCATTCCCAGTGGTATCATCTATCCAAAACCTTGAGTAACAAGCCGCAAAACTCCAAACATCATACAAACGAGCACGAGAACAAGAACAAGCCCCATCACCTCTTCTTCACTGCATCCTCCATGCGCCTGATAAGAGTCTTCAATCCAACGCCCTTCTCACAGTTATTCTCAAGATACTCTTCCATCTTCTCCCTCACCTCCTTCATACCCTTCAGTACCGGCAATTTGTTCCCCTCTTCACCCTCAAGGTGCATGAGTGGGTTCAAGAGTAAATCAAGGCAGGCATGCCAGATATCTGTCTGCCAATATCTTTTCAAACTCTCTTTGATCTTGTACGTCTTCGTCGCTCCAGCACCAAGAGTAGCGCCACGTTCAGCAATGGTGGAGATATACTTGCCAAATAAGAGATTGTGAACAATTCCAGCGAGACCGTGGTAGTCGATCTGGTATGTCCACGGGCGTAGTTCCCGCATTTCGGCACAGTCAGCTTCAGTCGTTGGCCAATCCGCGATGAACTGCACGTCTGGCTTGAACGCCTTCATGTCGATACCGCGACCAAAGTCGATGAGTGAGACACCCTTCGCAGACCAGCCGTCACGCCCATCGCGCTTGTACTCTGAATCCCAATGCTCATCTTTTTGCAACCCATCAAAGCGGACGAGGATGTTGTCGCTTTTAAGGTCGCCGTGGATTACACCCTTTGAGTGAAGCGCCTCAACTGTGCGGAACAATTCGACAGTAAAGAACATCGCAAGTTGTTCGTCCATGACACCGTTGTCTCCCCTGGATAAGTTTACCAGGTCGAGCAAGGTCCCTTGATCTCTAAATTCTTCGACAAGATAGCATTCATCTTTGAAGACGTGCATCTCGTACGCATGAACAATCGAATCAGCCGCTCGAGATACACCAAGTCGTCGCTTGGCCTGTCGCATGATGTAGAACTCCCATGGGGTTGGTGGATCTTCCATCTTGATAGCTTCCAGATTCTTGCGCTTGAGGCCGAACTCGCCTTTGCCCATCTGCGAAGGCTTGTTCTCATCGTCGTCCTCGTCGGGGTCTCGGCTCTCAACCAGATAGACTGGAGCGAAAGCACCTTTCCCAAGCTCGCGTTTGACAGCGTATGTCCGCTGAGTTGTGGGAAACTTCAAGGTGGGGCAGACTGCAAGATTGGCTGTCTTGTCGTTCGCGCCCTTGCCCGATTTCAGAGCCTTAGTATACTTGCGGATGTCGGCTCCTTTTCCGTAGCTCTCCTCTGTGTCTGCGTAGTAGCCATCGTAGCTATCGAGCGGTGGCTGAATCTCCTGTAAAATGACCTTGCGGATGTTCTCGTCGACCGGATTGCACTGTGCATCCTGAATAATTGGACCATTCGGCTTTACTGGTTTCGGCGCAACCTCTTTCGCAGCCAATGGCTTCCGTTGCGGTTCGGCGATGGGCTCTTTGGGCACTGGTTTCGATTCTGTCAGAGCGAGCTTCGCAACTTTCCCTGAGCCATCAATAACCTGACTCAAGATATCTGAAAAGGCGCTACCACAAGTATCATCATCGTCGTCGTCGTCGTCATCTTCAAGGATATCAGTGGTACCTTTCGATCGTGATGGTGTCTTGGTCGCGGGAGTGAAGTAGTCCTTGTTTGCATAAGCAGTGGCGATGCCTAGGGATGATTCCGTCTTCTCGACGATGGGCGTCATGAACGGCAGGCGGTTGTTAGCAGCCTGGGCTGGGTCTCGGTAGGGCTGCATAGCTGGAACGTAGTCCTCCGGTGGAACGGGAACGAAGCGGGTAGGTAGCGATGTGGGCGCTGAGGGCGATGTCGGAGTGACAACGTCAGAATCTTGCTGCTGTTCCATGTCGACATCTGCGCGTGTTACCTCGTTAAAAGAATCGTTCTGAGACTGATCAGATTGCTCTGATTCGTCATCTGATTCATCCTCTTGACCATCTTTAGGCACGTGCTTGCTCTCAGTAAAGTCAGACCACGCAGAGGCACTCTTGGTATCTGAAGCGTCGGAATCGCTTTCATCCTCGGCATCAACATCCAGCACCCTGGTGCCTAGTGTGAAATCTCCAGCTGTTGTCTCATCCCCGAACTCGCTCGTAGCGCCCGATATGCGACCGGTTGCCGTACTTTCGGCACCACTCGTGTAGTCGTCCTCATCGTCACCGCTGCTTTCATCACCACTTTGATTCTCGGAAGTGTTCTCATCGGCGTTCTTCAGTGGCTCGTTGAATATGTCGTAGATCTCGTCCATAGCTTCCTTGGTGTGGAGGGTCATTGTGGTCTCCGGGCCTGTCTTCTTTCGCCGGATTTTGGGCTTCGCTGGAGAATTGAGGTTGGCTTGGACTAAGACATGTTAGTACGTAAGTGACAGTCTCATATACAATCAAACACTCACTTGTCTGAGTCTCTCCGCGAACTTCTTTGACTTCCATGACCTTGATTTTCCTAGTCCTGTTGGCACGCTCCTCTCGTCTCGCCTTCTTAGCAGCCCGTGCCTTGTCTACATCTGCCTGTGAAGGCGGCGCATTCTCGTCGTTGTTCATATCATCGTCAATGCTGCCTTTCAGGGGCACGGTCTTGGGCTTAGGAGGCTGTTCGTAATCCTGTTTGGGCGCTAGAGGCGCGGCCCTTGGCTTTGGTCTTGCGGCAGCTTCTGCCTCCTCGGCTGCTTTCCTTGCCTGCTTCTGTTCCTTGCGGCGGATAGCATCCCAATCGTGGTCCATCCATCCCCTGTATTTAGCTCGAAGTTCTTCAAATGAGTATTCCTCTGACATGGGGTCCTCATGGTTAGGGTAAACCTGCTCCAAATCTACAAAGACTACCTCAAGCCTGCCGGTCCTAGGATTGACCGCTTGTTGATGTTCACGCAATGGATGGGGGCTGACATTCTCGTCATTTGGATTTGATTTGGTCTGAATACATGCATGGCAAACGCCCACCAATTAGTCCTGTGATCGTAAATATATGAAGGGGCTGATGTAGGCAGATCAACTCACCTCATCCTTGAAGATTGACATCTTTGGCACGCCCGTGTTCTTCTTTCCGACCTTCAGAGTCTCACCAGCCCAAGGGCGCGCTTCCGTTGCGTTCTCCTTCTTGCGGTCTGCGAGCGATCCAATGCTATCCCATCCTTCCATGCTACCAGTCGAGCCGGGCCTCGCGGCATCGTCGCCATCGGAAAAGATGGCAAGCTTAGCCTTCCCCGAGCGAGAAGCGCCTCCAGCAGGTTTTGGGGCACTTTGCGGTTGTGGACTCGGCGCACTCGGCGATACATGCGCAAAGGGGTCCATCTTAGCGGCGAGAGCTGGACGGACGGCGGGGAGTGCGGGGCTTGAGGGCTCGGGAACCTCTTGCGGGCGACTCTCGAGACGATGCTGGAATTCTCCGTACTTGCGAATCAGGCGCTCCACTGGACGGGCCTCGCGGTCAATGCCCAGGTTGTATATCTCCTCTGCTTGTGTGAAGCGGCCCGCGCCTTCTAACCAGGCCGCGAACTCTTCGTAGAATAGCGCAAGGTTCTCGCCGATGTTGTGTCGCGCAAGGTATGCGAATGTCTCGCGCGGCGCATCTGAGAAGAGATGGATGTAGTGCAGCCACAGCTTGAGGTAGCGGGCGTCGTTCTTGTACTGGGGTGAGGATTGGAAGGCTTTGGTCGCGCGCTCGAGCAGTGGGCAGAGTTGCGATTGAGGTGTGTTCTGCGCGGAGGGGTATGAGTCGAGTGTCCATTTGACATAACGGTCGTAAACATCTAACGGGTCGTCCGAGTCGTCAATTGCCATGAGCTCCTTCTCAAACTTGAGGCGGGCTGCGCTGTTCGCATCTTGCATCTGCGAAGGGGACAGCGTCTGACCAGCGCCGGAAGTCAACGGTGGCGTGTATAGCTGCGCGAGTGCTTTGGCGGAGCGGCCGCTGGGGATGCTCTGGATGTTTTCCTTCTGGCCTTCAATCACCTCGAAGTCGGTAACGTCGTCGGAACCCATGGCGCCGGGTGGGGGTATCACAAAGAAAGAAGAAGAAAAAGGAGGGTATCGGGAATACAGGCACAATACCTGCTGTCGACGTTGCTGCAAGCGGATGTGTATACCAACTCAGGGTACGCGGGGTTTGCATGTGGGATGATACGCTAGAACGCGCTTTGTCCTCTCCTGTCCTGGATCGTGTGTTGCCCCGACAACAATGCGCCGCCACCACGTTGGACACAACGTACTGTGTGAGACGGTTCAACCACAACTGAGTTACTAAGCACTCACAGGCGTATCTTATCATCACCTCCTAGAACCTCCCATCTAACGCCAGTCCTTCCTTGAGACCGCGAGTTTCTCTACAAGACTACTCCCTCAAGACAAGCAACCACGTTGGCTTCTTCTCCTAACAATGTTGCTGAGCTTATTATCGCCATCGATTGCAGAACCAGCTAGATCTACAATTAGACTTCATTCTCTTGAAATGTTCGAGAGTAGCACCAGGGTCGCTCCTGCCTCGTTCTGGCATGCGGATACAAGTCCCTAATAAACCTCATCGCACCAGCTTCACAACCTTTCTCAACCTTTTTTCTCACGCACACACACTCCCCCTCTCCCCTCAGTCTTCGTTATATATATATATATATCTCAGCCTTCGTTCACTCTGTCTTTCTCTCAGCTTCGTTCTCGCACTCAATTCTAAGACTCTGAACAATACCACCACAAAACGACTGATCAATCAACCAGGCATCCGCCAATTCTGTACAGCAGGTTCATCAGACTCACATACGCCGCCAGTTGTAAGCTCTGCCGCAGCTTCAGTCCCGCCAATCTCAACCACTTCCCTCGCAGCATCCATAGTAGCTGCAACACCAGAGCGCTCAACCGCCTAGGCATTAGAAGGCTGTATTATTCCACACCTAAACCTATCTATCCAAGTACACCACTTGTCCATTCCTTGTCCACTAGAGACGCCTGCCAACCTTGGAATATACTATTATCCTTCAACCTCCTTGCTACTACCCTTCAACTTCTCTGCCATCATCATCCAACCTATCCAACCTATCCAACCTACCCAACCTATCCAACCAAATCTTCCTCTCCCTCTTCCTCTTCCTCTGCACATGTATCTAACCTCATTTCAATCTTGCTCTTTCCCCGTGTACGCAATAGTCTCAATGCGTATGCGAGCTGCCCACTCTTCGTGATCGCAATCTGTTGATTCCAAATCAAAGGTGTGCTTGAAAGTAATGAGGCCGTTGGCGGGGTATTTGAATGACTTCTTCTTCCGCCTAAGGACCGCCGCGAACCTGGTGAGATCGACTTTATCGGGATCCAGATCGCTCATATCGCCCAGTTGCGGCTGATCGTCGTTAACGAGTAGATCTACGACACGGATGATGGCAATCTCATTCTCATTGTTGACAATGCGGATGCTGACATGTTTGTATAGGGTGAATGGGATCTTCTTCTCTGGCGAGAGATCGTCTCGGTCCCACTTCCAATTCTCGTCAGGATAAAACGGGAATTCGAGTAGCAGGTCGTTCTGATGGAGTCTGTGCATCTACGTCGCGGTAACGTTGATCCAGCGAAACAGCATCTGATGCCTCCAGCCCATGTGACACTGGTGGGCGAGCAGCTTCTGCCTGTTTATCTTGCTGAAGATAGGACAAACATGATCGTGGGTGGCATTCGGGTTGCCAAACTTCTCTTTGAATGTCTTGTCCTTAGTAAGAAGGCGTACAAGCGTTGCTCGAGCCACGTAGTACTCCTCGACCTGGTTGTTGAACCCAGCAACACAGTTCACTTTACTACTTCTCATAATGACATAATCACCAGTCTCTAGGCATCTGTCGCAGCAGGTCACAAGAAAGCACACATAGTCAAGCTCATCCGAGAAAGCATATACAAGTATGTTAAGAATGTCCAAGGACGACTATTGACCCTCCACTCTACTCATTACCAATGTTCATCATCAGTGACCCGTCCCACCAAAAACAGCACGACAGCACATCCTAATAGAGAGTCGTCATGTAAAAATAGAAACTGATCCCGAAAAAAAAAACTCCAGACTCCCGCTGTTCGATTTGGTATATCCCTAAAACGAAAGCAAAAACGTCATATGCACAAAGGCAAACAAAACAAAGGGAAAATGACATATGCCGGATCGGGGTATCCCAAGGAAGTTCGAGCAGGAGCTCCGATTGGTATCATATGGAAAGCGACAACAAGAGCCCTCACCTGGTCGGTGATATCTGAAGTGAAGGCAAGGGAAACAAAGCAAAAGACCGAGAGATTGTCATGCGGAACTGGAGGTAAAACACCAGACATGTGTATCATTGCGTAAATCATAGGAGATTCGTTATTGTTCTTCGAGGTCGTGACATCGTGGCTGTGCTTTGAAAAACTCGACGTAAATTGATGATGGCGATGTGTGATGTAAAGGCGGTGAGGAAGCAATCAGCTGACCTAATTCAAGAGCGGTTCTCTACGGCTTGCTCGCCAGTGGCGACGGCAACCAACGCTTCTAAGCGTCTCATATCATTGTTGGCTGTCTGCTGCGGTAGCGGCTGACCGAACGTTGCGGGTCCCCGCTCGGGTTCTCGTTGCGGTCGATAGCTTGAGCTCGAGTTGGAGAGACTGTGGCTATGATAATGGTGTGGCTGCGATTGTAATGGATGCGGCCTTTCCATAATTGACGCTTGTGACTTGTAATCTTCGACGACTGGCGTTTCGACATATCCATTGCTCCCCACGATGTTCGGATGATGTTCCCAAATCGTCCCTGGAGTGGGAACGCCTTCGCTACTGCTACTATCTTCAGGGGATGTTCTCTGCATAGCTCTTTGTGGTTGACTGACAGGTCCGTTATACCACGCCTGTCGCTTATTCTTTCGGGGCGTCGTAGGCTGTTCTTGCGAAGTCCTGGGCGAAGCGTTGATGGAAGGGATCTGGATTGGCTGAACGTTAGAAGGTTGCCGACTAAAGTACCCATGAGCGGTCGTAGGGCGTGTAGCATTCGCTCGTCCCGCACTGCCAGGGTATGGTTGCGACCATTGTGGTTCTCTCTGAGAACTTGGGCCAGCAATGTTCAGACGGTCAATTTCCCAAGAAATACTAGTTCTTTTGTGGTGACCCCTGTGAGGCGGAGGCGGGTGCTCCATCGGCGCGTGATATGTGAGTGGACGAGCTGGGGCGTCTACTTGCATTGGACTTGGCTGGCGTCGAGGAAGCGGAGGGGGTGCATGGTCGAAGCTTTCAATTCCCGGAAGACGGGTAGTTTGAGAAGCGGCCGGAATTGAAGTAAACGTGGGCCGATCCGCGTCTGGCGTCTGGTGATAACCAAGCCCACTGGTCGCTGGTCGAGGCCCAGTATGCCCCCAAGTTCCTGGATGCCACGTACGTCGCCTCCAGTCGGCATCTGCGTTTGAATCTCTCCTCGACTCTGAGAATTGAGATGCTGTTGGGCTCGCATATGCGCTGCTTTGGGCTGAATAGCTGGGTGCGGCAGTCGACTGCAGAGGTGTGATGTACGTGGAAGGACCCTGTCCTGGAGGACCAGAGAAAGGATTACCGCTAGACGAGATGGATTCTCGGCGTCCTGGAAGAGGTGGTCCAGCCCATGAGACTGGCCTGGACGAAGACGAGACGGGAGATTGTATAGTGGACCCGTAACGAGCGGGGCTGCCAGTAACTGTCGAGAAGGTAGCGGATGTGGGCGTTGTAGGCGCGATGGACTGCGTGTCATACTCGACAGGCCCAGGAGAACCCATCATCGGTGGGTCATACGCGTTCATTGTGTTGAGCGACAGGCGGGCCCTCGCGCTAGCACCGCCATCACTGGCCATGGCCAAAGGTGGTGGCCTACGTCGAATGTCGGGAGAAGGTGCCGCGCTCATGGTCGAAGCGGTAGAGATTATGCTTGAAGCTGAGAGGTTTCTGCTGTGGCCTCTGCTATGGCCACTTGTGCTGCCTAGTGTGTTCGCTCGAGATCGGTTTCCAGGTGGTCTTACTCTGTCGGTCCGGATCTGCCTTTGGAACCTCGTACCCGTTGCAGCTAGCGATTCCGAAGGTATGTCTTCGTTGACGTGGACTGTTTGGGCATGTTGTCGGAGGTTGTCGAGTCGCGAGAATCGCCGGGAACAGTGACATTGGAAGGGTCTTTCACCAGTATGCTTACTGCAATGTGTTAGCAACGTAAAATGCCGTATAGTGCGCTACGTACCGAATGTGTCGTGCCAGATGCTCACTTCTCGTGAAGCTTAGATTGCACGGAGGAAAGTCGGTACAAAAGAAGCGTTGTCCTTTCTTCTTTTTAGACGGCCGGTTGGAATCGCTGGTTACGCTATCGTTGTCCGATCCGTCTTTCTCGTCATCATCCCCATCACCCATATGCACATCTTGTCCCGAGGTTGTTGGCCTATGCGAGTCCTCTCTACTTTGTTCGCTCTTGTTCGAAGCTGAAGGTGTCTCGCTCAGCTCGCGGCCGGGTGTAAACGGCGACGAGGGCAGTGGTCGCTGACCAACAAGACCCGCAAAGGTATTGCGTGTAGGTGTCTTAGCCGATGGGTCTTCGGTACGGATCTCTTCGGTCGCTTTCGATTCGGCAAAGAACCTGCTGTTCGGTCGAGGAGTAGTCGGTGTCGTCTCGTCACCCGGGCGGCCCTGTGGCGCATCTGGGACCGACAATGTGGTGTTGACTGCTTGGAAAGTAGACATGTTGGAAGAGGCGGTGACCAGCAGTCTAACGATAGCCACCTCTTGTTCCGTGTCGTGCTGAGTGAGCCGCGCAAGTCTGCGGAGACGAGCGCGTATAGCTTACAACCTGCACGAGGGAGCTCGCTTTGGTAGCGCCGGTGATGTAAGACTGGAGAGTTAATGCAGGCGCAGGTCCCAGGCGGGTTGCCTCGAGCGGCGCAATCAGTATGATACTGCGGGTGGTCCCTTCCTGGAGCGGATGTGGGAAGGCTGAAACGATATGATGACGAATAGAGGGCGGCGTTGCAACAACATCCGGAGTCAGCGCCCAGCGAGCAAGGTCAAACAAAATCTACGAGGTCGTGTTAAATTCGATCGTTGCGTCGTAAAATCGTCAAGTTGGTGTCGCCCAAAGGTGTACCAGTGGTGAGGGTTGAGCAACCACGGATACTCGGACTTTGGGCTGGGTATGATAAGGCGCGGGATGGGATGCCTCAGGTGGCGGGGAGATTGGCCCCTCTTTGACGCAAGACTCGATGCGCACAAGGGCTCGAGTAGGAGCGGCAGGATGCGGCTCTTGTGGCGATGCAGCTAGACTGTGCAAGACCCGGGTATGAAGGCAGAGGAGCAGGTGTCGATGCAGGAGAGCGGGATTAGAACGAACTCACGATTGCGTCGCAAATGCACGAGGAGGGGTTGGTAAGGCACAGGACGGGATCTTAGCGGCTTTGTCGTGCGCCCTGGACGGACGGCCTGGCAGAAGGCTGGGGTTAGAGTCCGATCCACCTTGCGACGAAGGCACATCTTGCCTGCAGATCCTTGGAATTAGCGATGCTTGGCCCGCCGACCCAGACATGATGAAGAGGTGCAGCTGAGCCCCAGAGTATGCTCGTCCGCCTGTCAGACCATAGTACGTCTGCAAGCCCTGATGAGCGCATCTGCCGTCAAGCAATCGGCCTGGCTGCAGGACAAGGCATCATATTGTGCGGCGGGGCACTGGGCAGCACTGCCTGTTTCCGGTTGCTAACAACGGTCATGGCACATGCTTGCAGCGATGGGTCAAGAACCTGACTATTTGCTCTAGGTCGTGCGTTATGGCCGGGACCTGAGCACGCTGGATATTGATGACGAAACACCTACCAACGCCCGCTGCCGTTTCACGTGTTATCAGATAGATCGGGACCAAGATGGCTGGCTATGCCATGGACGCGCCGGCGCGTTTGGCCAGTCCCCCAAGACAAGTTGCGCGCCTGGGAGAAGACAGCCATAAGCAGACGAGCATGGCGTCGGCCGCCTGGCGAAGCTGACAGTGCCATGCCCAAGTAATTGGTTGACGCGGATAGTCGCTGCAAGCTAGCAGCGTGGGCGAGCGCCGATGCAAGGGGACTCGACCAGATCCACAAAAAGTGTTGTACCTTTGTACCTTGCCGAAGCGAAAGGCTAGCATCCGTGGTTCTGCCGGACTTCAGCGACTCAAATTTTGCGTCTTTGCAGCGCGAAAGGCGCCAGGCGGCTGTTGAACGAGGCGGTCAGAGACGGTAGTCTGTCCCCTGGCGTTGCCTGGCGTTGGGCTTTGAGCGGTGCGTGACAGTTTGTCGCCATCACACTCTATAGCTCGGAAGCGCTGACAGAAAGGCGGAGGACCCAGTGGCCCGACTAGTTCCTGGCAAGCAGTGTATGATTCGAGGGAATCTGGCGGACAGACGCGGGATGATACCATGGATCGCGAATATCGTGGTCATCTGCGCGGTGCGCCTCGTTGCGTCGTCTGTACCGTACTTTGTCCCTTGTATGCTTCAAGATTCCGCTTCCGGTGCCTAAACGAGACGCAATATTGCTATTGACACGTTGCGTAGGCGCATCCCCACACGAGGATCGTGCGCCGTGCCTACAAAGAAAACACTCGTCCTTCCTGCAGCGGCAGCTGGAGGATTGGTGAAACACATAGTGTATGCAGGCCTACATGTTCAAAATAGTAGCTTTACCGAATCATGCGGGCTTGTGTTAGCGGGCGAGCCAGATGTCTGGACGCTTTTGTCGCCAGCGGTGGCGTTGGTGTTGAGGGAGCCGTGCATTACTCGCGCTCATGGTGAGGTTAGCGATAGTGGAGTCAACGCTCGGAAC